GAACAGAAACCCGGCCCCCCCCCCGGAGGGATTAGCCTGCGTTTGCAGCGTCCCCGAGCAAAGGCCGAGCTCTGTCACTATTCTGTCGCACGACAGGGCTCCACGTGCACACGTGCCCCGTTGCGCACGTAATGCCTGATTCGCACATACAAGCGCACGGGCTGCAGGCAATTACTCCTGAATGCGCAAGTCCCCGATGGACCCTGCAACTGCCTGATTTGCACGTGCAAACGGGGCCTGAGTGCGTGCCGCTGTACCTGCCCCGGCTCCTCCCCAGAGCAGCTGCAGCTTGTTCACCCCCCGCCAACACCCTGCCTGGACTCGACTCACTTTTGCACGACTTCCCGTCGCTGCCCAGGCTGAATCCAGAGCGGCACCGGCAGGGCTGGGGCGGAGCAGCTGCCGGGTTTGCCGAACTGGTCTTGCTCACAGGCGTGGCTCCGCACTGGAACAGCAAGGGCCAAGCACGCTGCCTGAGTGTCAGGGCAACACCATCCACCCAGCCCCGCCAGGCACTTCTAGGGAACAGCTGCATGCCCCCAGCAACACCACACCCCAGGGAGGCAGCCCAGGGTGAGGCAGAACAGCCTTGTGGTTACAGAGCTGGACTGGGATTCAGGGGATCTGCCTCCAATTCTTGCCTCTGCCACCGACTCCCTGTGTAACCCTGGGACACTCCCATCACCACTGTGGTCTCAGGTCCCAAGGGGAAACACTGCTATGGTGCTGCCCAGCCAGATCACTCCCAGCATGCTGGGGCATGCTCCTTATGCTACAGAGAGGGAAACTGAGGCACAGCAAGAGACTGGGACTTGACCAAGGTTACCCAGGAATTCAGTGGCAGAGCCCTAGCCACCAGAGCCCCATCCACCAGGCAGCCCTCTCTCTTTCCTCTCCCCAGCCTGTCAGTTTGGATGGAGAGCCCTTTGGGGCAGGCTCGGCACCCACGCACTAACAAGCCGGCTTTTGCCAGTCCAGCTCCCTGACCTGCCCGTGCGTTGCCCACGTTGCAGGGGAACCGGCTCTGGCCACGCCGCGCTCCCAGCGCCCGGATCCACGGCTCAGTTTTGTGTTTTGGAAACCGCCGAGCGGGCTGGAGAGGCTAAGAGGATTTTAAACTTGCAAATTGATTCACTACAAGGAGGGAGGAGGGAAAAACCCACCCGGCGCTGGAGCCTTCAACGGCTCTCAAGGCTCTCGCGCCGGCCGAGCGTCAGGCATGGCGAGGGGCGCGCCACAGAGGGGGGGGGGCCCATCACAT